TGAATTTCCTATTATGTATGTTTGTATTTTTAACTAGTTTTATTAGTTCTAGTTGAAGAAATTACACACTTTTGGTGTAATACTTTATTTTCATTAATTATTTGTAATTTATTTAGATTAGGATTATATTAAGCTTAGGACAGGTCAAAATCATCCCAAGAATCAAAGGATGGATCCTAAAGACCAAAGAATGTGCAAAAAGGAGAAGATCAAATGAAGATTTTGAAATTTGTTCAATACTCGGTCGAGTATTGCCAATACTCGATCGAGTATTGCCAATACTCGGTCGAGTATTGCCAATACTCGGTCGAGTATTGGCCTGATACGCTGGTCAAAATCAAATCTGGGAGCAAAAGTACGTGGCTGAATATTTGATGAAAATCCTGTCGCATACTCGGTCGAGTATTGGCAATACTCGGTCGAGTATGCCTATATTTCACAATTTCCTGGAAATTTCCTCTCATACTCGGTCGAGTATTGCCAATACTGGATCGAGTACCGAACCCTGCCACCTCCATTTTGCTATAAATACACCCCATTTCCTTCACATTAAAAAAAAAAACCAATTCACATATACTTCTTAGCTCAGTTTAGACAAGTTCTTTCTTTATATTTTTCATCATGTTTAGTCTCCAAATGAGGAGCTAAACTCTTCCATCTTGGTTTTGCTACTTTGAAGCTTAATGATTTGTAAGTTGTGAGTTATTTTCTTTAATCTTTTCCCTTGAATATTAATTACTTCCTATTCATATTCCATATTAATATCTTGAGCATTACTTAAAGGATCAACTAGTTTTGTTTCATATATTAATTATTACTAGAATCAATCGGTTAATACGCTTGTTATTAATTGTTAAAGGATCAAGAGTATATGGCCTAGGAGCCCCCGGCCCATAGACTCCTACTTATCCTACACAAGTCCATGGAGCCCAGAGAACATCTCAGGCCCAAATGCAACGGCCCAAACCTCAAAGAAGCCCGGAATACGCACTGGGGTGCCTTCAGCCTCCTTGGCCGAAGGCTCCAAAACTCACAGGATAGCCTTTTTGGGCATACGAAGCTACTGGGAGAAAACGGCGGAAAACAGGAGCCTTCAGCATCATCAAGCCCTCGGCATCAGAAAAGCCTTCTGCTGAACCAGGCCTCCGGTCACACAGAGCCTTCGGCCACGCAGGGGTCCTCTGTTACGTGGAGCCCTCGGCTACACATGGAGCCCTCAGCTACATAAGGGGTCTTCGACCAAACATGCTCAATCATCGAAGATTCCCTTTGGGGACAACCAACCACCACATTTAATGCAACGTCACATCCACCAACCGCATTCAATGCGGTGAACATGCCTCTGCCGGTGCCACCCGATTGATGTGACCCCTCGGCCGTTGGATTACTGACACGTGTACTCTCATCGCATTTATTGCTGCTATAAATAGCAGCCCATTTCTCCTTGTAAACGATCCCAACTCTCACACGCTGAGTTCATTTAATAAATCGACTCTCTCTCCTCCTATTTGCTCTGACTTCTCTCTAAGTTATTCCCGCGATAACCCCTCGGATAAGATACCCCCGGGTAGACTGTCCATCACTTGGATTGTTAATGCATGCTTCTCATGGTTAATAAGCCAAGGGGAATTAATTATATTGATTAAACCAATAAACCGCTTGTGTTGAGGTTATCAATCTCAATCGTTTTCATCTTAAGTTTATTGCTACTATCAAGTTAATATACGGCGCTTGTTCTATATTGACTCGATAGTAAGTTTTATTAATGAACGCATCTCGTTATTAATAACTACCCTCGATGAACTGGATATACTCCTCGATTGAGTATTCGAGAGGAAGATAGTTAAAGATATAACCGGGATCAACGAACATTTCATTAAGTGGATGAAAGCAAAACCAAGCCTCCATCTCTATTAAAGTAAACCACATAAGTCATTCAACTTAGTGTTTAAATACATTTTAAGTTCAATCATTAAATCAAAACCCCCCTTTGTTACTATTTATATAAAAGATAAATATTCCTTTCCCTGTGGATACGAACCTTACTACACTATGCTACGTATTAGTGTCGTATTGATATTTATTTTGAGTGCACACACAACAAAGTGCACGTCACGTTTGTCCATAACCGTTTTTGTGCCTCTGAACCAGTCTATCGAACCAGTTTGGTCCAGTTCTAGGTGGCTGTTGATATGGTCTAGAACTGGGTTGTCCACGGGTTCGATTACCCTTAAGGGGTTGGTTTTGAAAATTTGAGAGTTTTGATTAGATTGAGAGACCTTAGGAATATATCCGAGACCTGCAGTCTCGTTTTCTTTTCTATTGTGCTGAGATTGACCAGTTCCTGACTGAGGTCTAGACCTGGTCTTGTTTGTTGCACTATAGGATTGATATTCCGGTCTATTTTTAAAATCAGTGCACTCGGCTACAAGACGATGAAGATGATCAATTAAACAACCAACACTCGAAATTTTTGAGAGAAGTTTCTCATCACGATCAACTTGTTTGCTCATACTATCGAGCTTAAGAGAACAAATGATTTGATCTTGTTCTAAAACCACTTCATTGTACTTAAGCTTTTCATCTATTAACTCTCCCACTTTTGTTTCAAGCCTTATCTTGGCTCTCGTGGCTTCCTCGAGTTTAGACTCAAGCTCAGTGACCCGTGATTTAAGATGATCGTTTTCAGAAAGGTTTTGATTAAGCTCAATAGTCAATCTTTTAAAAAAATTCCGAGCTTTGGTTTTGGATAGAGAGTCAAACTTGGATAGAAAATTTTCAAAATTTACCTCGAAGCTCTCTTGGTCGGATTCCTCGTCAGAGTGTGCCATAAGGCATAGACCCGCATGATTGGAGTTTTTATCATTTTCTTCTTCATCATCATCAGATGAGTCTCCCCATGCTGCCATCATTGCCCTTTTGAGATCTCTATTAAAGCCTTTGTCTTCGTTGAACCTTCGGTTGGAACTGGACTTGTTCTTGTCGTAGGTTTTCTCATTTTTCTTTTGTGGGCAGTCCTTAGCCCTGTGCTCAAAGGAACCACAAACAAAACAACCTTGGTTATTAAAGGATTGAGTATTCTTTTTACCTTGTTTGGTGCGATTGTTCTTGAACTTTCGGTACATCCTCCCGAATTGCTTTGCAAACATGCTCATCTCATCATCCGATTCGCTTTCGGATTCTTCCTCTTCTTCTCGAGCCTTTAGAGCTATTCCTCTTTCTCGCCTAATATTCTCAGCATCTTGCTCTTCTTGAAGTCCTAGTTCATATGTCAAGAGTGAACCGGTCAAGTCTTCAAGAGTCATGGTGGATAGATCTTTTGCCTCTTCAATTGCCGTGGTCTTAGGCTTCCAAACTGAAGGTAAGCTTCTTAAGATCTTTCTCACTTGATCTTCCACAGTAATATCTCTTCCAAGGGCTGAAAGCTCATTAATGATATTAGTAAAACGTGTAATCATATCCTTAATTGACTCCTTAGGCTTCATTACGAATAATTCGTAATTACACATAAATATGTCAATCTTAGATTTTTTTACACGTGAGGTACCTTCATGAGTAACCTCGAGCAAATCCCACATTTGTTTTGCAGTCTTGCATCCTAGAACCCGGTTGTGTTCGGCAGGACCAAGACCGCAAATTAAGTATTTAAGGGCTTGGGCATTATGCTCGAGTTTCTCGTAATCATCAGAAGTATATTCAGCTTTAGGTTTAGGAACAACATTACCTTCGGCGTTTCTCTTCGTTATGGCATTGTAGCCACTTTCTTTTACGTTCCATACCTGATAATTATCAGCCTTGATAAAGTTTTCCATCAGACTCTTCCAAAATTGATAGTATTTGCCATTGAACAATGGTGGTCGTTGAGTCGAGTACCCTTCTTCCAATCGGTCAACCGTATTCATTTTGCCGGATCTCTTCCCAAGGTATTAGCCTCTATGTGGTGAAGACCGGCTCTGATACCAATTCATGAAAACGGTTAGTAACACAAGAGGGGGGGGGGGGGGGTGAATTGTGTTTCTGTGGAACCGGGGCAGTTTTCGCCCAGTTCTAGTGTGGGGTTAAGGGAATTGAGAAATAGTAAAGTGCACAAGTATTTAACGAGGAAAAATCCCTTGGCTCAAAGGGATCAAAAAACCTCGACCTCCCTCGGAGGAATTTTCAACAACTTCACTAAAACAAGCCTTGAAAGAGTTACAAGAGTGATTCTCCTAATCTACCCTTGAGCCTCCCCAACTCTATCCTCTCTAGGAAGAGTTATGCGTCTCTACCTTGCGAGTAAAGAGCCTCTCAGCTTTATCACAAAGCTCTCACACACACACTTGACCCAACCCGAGGCAGCTACTCTTGCTAAGCCTCAATATCCCAAGTACAATATAAGAAGGAAAAGAAAACTCTATCTAGAACTCTGAGTGGTCAGTTTCAGGTGCCATGGACTTGATCCTTTTCTTGAAAGTTTCTTCTAAGTATTTTCTCGGTCCCGCATACTTCACTCTCTTTTGATTCTTGATTATATAGGCTTCTGGACAGGTGAGCCGTTGAGGGACTTGCCTTAATTCATTTTGAATATATTTCCTTTTCCATCAAGGCTCCATATATAAGACAATCACAATTAAATTATTCAAGATCTTAACAATACATACCAAGTATGAGAGTGGTAAATCAGTAAAAGGTATTAAAGGTAGGCATCGGTCAAAAGCGGCCAAGGAATGCAACGGCCATAAAGGGATTTACTTTTCAAAATAGAATTGATTTAAAGAGCCTTTCCTTTTTCTTAAAGATATCTCTTTCAAAAATATTTTTTCCATACTTAAAAAATCAAGTTATGTGAATGCCATAGTTCGAGTCATGTATGCAGGCAATATGACCAGGGTCATGCAACATTACATAAAAACATACTCCGTATTTAAGTGTCTACATGGTTAGTTATCAACAAAAATCCAACAATATATACTAAACATACTATATATGTACACCACAACTACTTTGATACTAGCTAGTAGTACAAACATTAAATGACTTAATTTTTACAGTGGTGAAGCTAGGGATATTATGGTCCCCTCAAGTGTTTCATCTAGCTAGGATATACACATAACACATGTACAAATACCAATAAACTACTACGTATGAAAATATACGAGTATGTTTGAAATTTTATTTTAATTTTTTACACCCGCAAAATATATTTTTCAGCCCCGGCCCCCTTTAGGATTGTTTACACTTGATTATCACCGGAAGTCCACCTCTCACGGTGGCCGTTAAACCAGGGGCGTATCTTAGAGTTTGACTTGGCTCGCAAGCAACGACTTCCACATCAAAAGCCCTGATCACTGCCACTGCAACACTCTTTATCTCCACCAATGCCATGTCTTTGCCCAAACAAACCCTAGGCCCGGCCTGAAAAACCGGGTACTTGAATGGGCATTCGGGCCTGAAATCTCCATTTTCAAGCCACCTTTCGGGCTTGAACTCGCGACAGTCGGGCCCCCAAATCGACTCCATCCGTCCCATTGCGTACGGATGGTACGTAACCCGAGCCCCCTTACGGACGAATGTCCCGTCGGGCAGCGTGTCGTCGTCGGCGCAAATCTTGGAGTCGAATTGCACCGGCGGGTAGAGCCGCATGCTCTCGTGGACCGCTGCCGTGAGGTAATGCATGTCTCGGATTTGCTGGTACGTGGGCAGCTGCTGGTCGGGTTCCATTACCCGACCAGACTCGGCCCGAATCCTATCCCTGACTTCCTTGTGCTTTGAGAGTAACCAAAAGAAGCTAGTCAACGCAGAAGCAATGGTGTCCCTTCCCGCCAAAAGGAAGCTGATGACGATGTCACGCAGAAATTTATCATCGTTGATGTTCCTCATGAACCTCGACAGAAGATTGTTTGTTTGGTCTGAAGCTCCGCCGCGGCCGCCGGAATTCCTCTTTTGTCTGATCAGCGCCGCCGCTAATTCGTCAACCAATCTGACGGCCTCTCTAAGCTTTTTCTCTGACCCCACGTTCAAGAACTTTTTTACCTAATATCCAACAACGATAAAATCGTTCACATTAAGTAAACGATTAATAAAAACATGCACGACTTTATTTTACTACAACAAGGAACTTAAAAAAGTGTAACAAATAATAATAAGAATTGAGTCATGTGCATATATATAGCAATGCTATTTTTCTGTTAAAAATAGAACCTACTACGTATGTATTAGATTATTATCTTATTAAAAAGAGAACAAAGATATTTTTCTTCATTATAAGTTAACCAGCTGTATTCTTACAAAAAAAGATAGAAAAAGTCTTAAATCCATCGATATAGTGGGAAAGTAGTCTTTTGTAGCAGGTGGGCAATCTAGATAATTATAATTGATCGGATCGAATAATTGTAATCGATTGAGTCGGATAATTGTAACTTGTCATGTCGAGTAACTATAATTGGACGGGTGTAACTGGTCATGTTGGGTCAAGAGACTGTAACTAGGGAACGGGTGTAAAAGTCATATAGATATGATCTTTTTTTGAAACATTTAGAATTGGTCCCATTTTTGTTCATGATTTTCCATTTAGTAATATTGACTTCATAACTTTATTTTACCTTTTTTTAAAAGCAAGAATATTGTGATTGAAATTAAAATTATTTAAAAGAATACATAGTATGAACTAGTCCGTACATGATAATATGAAACATATGTAGATAGTTTTTTCCATTAATGACACTTTTTCTTAAAATGGATCGAACAACAACTCTAGGATGACTGAAACAGTTGTTTATTATGTAGATAATTTTAGGAATTATGGGAAAAGGAAGTATGTAAAATATACGAAGCAGATACTCTGTATTTTATACGGAGTATATTAGTTAAAAGCATAGTCAATACTCCGTATATGTTATGCGAATAAATAAAAATAAGGCAATATTTTTTATATTCTCAAGATATCACAATTCACGTGGACTAATTGAAACACTACAATTAAACAACTCAAATATAAAAAACGATGAAATAAATATTTAATTTGGATCAATCAAAACGATAAAAAAAAATTGGATCAATCAAACATATACGAAGTACGGTATCACTCATAAGTTAACGTTGACAAAGAAGGAAGCGAGTATTATGTGAGTACTGAAGGTTATTTTAACTTTTAAGCAGAGTTCTTAAGTTTTAGTCTTTTAATTACTCGCTCCATCCCTTAAAAAATTTTGTAAAGTTTGAGCGGTACGTGAATTAATAAAGTAAAAATTGTGTAGTTGAGGTTTGTGCAGATGAGAGAAAATTAACTAGAATCGCAATTTTTTTACTAAGAAAGTAAAAAATTAATAAGACAATTATTGGAGTATATATATATATATATATATATATATATATATATATTAATTATATACGAGGTATATTTTTCAATTCAGGATTGACAAGACAGGTTAAATAGATATTTGAATGATGAAAATTAAATTGTTGATATAATACTCAAACAATTGAGAAACTTTATACTCCGTACACAACTTATAATATCATGAATTTGTTTATTTTTTATTGTAATTTAAAATGTTTTTGAATTTTTCCTACTGTGGTCTTGATATTGTGACGTTGACGTTTGTATTCTAATCTTTGAAACCTGACGGCTTCATTTTTTTTAACTATTAAAATATTCAGGAGATCAGTCATATCTTTGACGTGATCATTATAATTATTGGAGTATCAAATGACCACAATTTTCTTAAAGAAATATAACGAAAAGACGATTAACAACAATAACAGTGAAATCTCTTAAAAATATGAGTGAAATTTATTAAACTCTAAAATGAGTATTAATTCCTCAATTCCATTATAGGATGCACTTTCTTTATTGAACTTTTCAAAAAATTTGAATCATTATAAAATAAAACTATTAAGTTTTAATATTCTTAGTTTATTTTTTTATGTACTCCGTATGATTTTATAATTTATTTTTTGTGAACCCATTTTAATTTATCTAAAATTTTGAAAGTTGCAATTTTAAAATGAATAGTTTATCCTTTATTTCTTTAAAGCTCGTATCAAATTCACGTGTATTTTGTATTTCAGGATTGATATAGCATATTCTTTTTTAAAAATGAGTAAATCAGTATTTTTTTTGGCAAACAGTAATTCCGTGTTACGAAGTACTTTAAAATCAAAATTTGACATTATCAAATACTTCGTATCTCGTTTATTAAAAATTGCAACAATTTGACTTTCACGGTTTCCAAAACACGACTTTGACTGTAATATATTTAATTATGTTTTAGTAAACATTAAAAAAGTTAATATTTTGGAAATTTGATTTATAACATAATAGTTTGATTATAATAGTTTGTAATATATTTAATAACATTTTAAACATAATAGTTTGATTATAGGGAGTATAGTAGTACATTATTATTAGAAAATCGTAGTCATAATTTTTTTAATAAGAATAACTCTCTACAAAGAAAAGATTTATTTATTAGGAGTATGACGCAAGGAAGCAAGTGTTAATACTTGATAGGCCTAATTAATACTCCGTAGTTAATACCTTCCACACGATGGGGGAAGCAATGATTGCGCGCTGGGCGGAGAGAGTGGAGGCGAGGTCGAAGGCCGCGGCGAAGTCCGACACCGGCGACGACAAGTTCAGGCAACCGGGGTCCATCCCGAACGAGAATTTACAGATATTATCAAACGAGAATCTCCTCAGCACATCCTGCAAGTCCATAACGTCCCCGTTCCCGGCGTACGCCGAGAATAGGGGCAGAAGGCGGTGGCGGACCTCGGCAGTGACGATGTCGAAAGCGTAGCTTCGAATGGTGACGCTGCCGAGCTCGCGGCTCGCCAGCTTACGCTGGAACAGCCATGAGTGCCCGTCGACGACGAATATGCCTCGGCCCAAAAGGTCTCCGAGGATGGACGAGAACAGTTCCCCTTTCGGGTAGTTGTGGAAATTGGTGGTGAGTATGTGCTCGACGTTCACGGGGTTCCCGGTTATGACGTTGCCGAGGACGTGGACGTGAATGGTGCCAGAGGGGGACTTGTTTAGGAGGTAAGAGTACCAATCTATGAGGTTCTTGTGGTCGGATGACCAGCTTGAGGTTAGATAGGCCTTGCAGATCTCACACTTGCATAGTGGTTTCAGACTGATGATCATTGGAACTGAACGGATCAGGAGGAAGAAGAGAAGGAGGAGGGCTAAGGTTAATAAGAGACAAAGAATACCCAATCCTTCAGCCATTGTTATTATATTGTTTCAAGGGAGAGAGATTTTTTGGAAATGGGGAGTGGGGGAAAGTGGGAGGAAGGAGATGAGTGGAAGAGCACACTATATATATTGGATTTTTGTAGGATATGCATTGAAGGATGCCATATATAAAAGTTATGGACATGATCATTTTTGTGAATTAAAAAGATACTCGTGCATAACATATAGTCAAGCTGTGATGATCGATTTTCAAAAGAATAATAATAAATGTACCATAAAAATATGTATAGTCAATGAAAGTATATACATAAAATTGGTATGTTGACATCTAGACTTCATCTGATTATTGGTAAGAGTTGCTGGTGCCCGGACAACTCTTATTAGTGCCCATCCATAAACGTTAATTTTCAGGAAAAAATAACACTAATGGCACAAGTGATATTAACATGCAAACCAATTTTTGTTTGTGAGATGTCTATGTGCATAGACAACAATGTCTATGTGATATAAAATTATGTATTTTTCAGATATATTTTTATCACTGAGACTATAGTTTTCTCATATTGATCCTAGGTGATTTAGCTTGTTACTTACTAAGCAGGTAAAAATGTTTTAAAAATGAGAAAATGAGAGAAAATAAAATAAATCCTTAATTTGGTCATATATTAGGTAATATGTATGATTAGTATTTTTTATTTTTAATATATATATATATATATATATATATATATATATATGTACACACACACACCAATATTCCTGTCCGGAATTTCCCGACAGGAACCCCCGTCCGGCCTCCTCCATTTGGGAGCCTTCCCGGTGGTATGTTTTGCTCAAATTTTTTTTTGTATGTTCCTCATCAAGTCTAGTTCATCCATACCAAATTTCAGCAAAATATTTAATCGGGAAGATTGTCAAATGATTTTTGCAAGTTAACTGGTCCGGAATATGTATTTTCCGGACCAGTTAACTTGCAAAAATCATTTGACGACCTTCCCGATTGAAGTTTTTTCTCAAATTTTGTATGGATAAACTAGACTTGATGTAGAACATACACAAAAAATTTGAGAAACAAACACCACCGTGAAGGCCCCCAAATGGAGGAGGCCGGACGGGGCTCCGGTCAGGAATTTCCTGACCGGAATAGCTCTCTCTCCCTCTCTCTCTCTCTCTCTCTCTATATATATATATATATATATATATATATATACACACACACACACACACACACATGTTTCAGATATATTTTTATCACCGAGACGGATACGATAGTTTTCTCATATTGATCCTAGGTGACTTGTTACTTACTAAGCGGGTAAAAAAGTTTTAAAAACGAGAAAATAAAAGAAAATAAAATACTTCCTTACTTTGGTCATATACGTAGTATTAGGTATTATGTAGTATTTTTATTTTTATAACTATTACTACCTCTGTCCCCCTAAGTTTGAGACAAGAGAAAGTGGCACGGTTATTAATAAAGTGGGTTTATGTGGTTGATTTTAAATTGATAAAGTAAGAATAAAGTAATAATGTTTTAGAACCACACAAATTTTACCAAATAAGGTATGGGACAATCTTAGTGGGACGGACCGAAAAGGTAAAATGAGACAATCATAGTGGGACGGAGGTAGTATGAAACTTTGATTTATAGTAATTTTTAACCTAAGAATTTAATTTATATACTACTCTGTTCTATTTTAATTGCAACATTGGTGAATATTGCACTATTCACATACTCTACGTACTTTGACTACATTTCACGGAGTATTTATTATTGTATTGTAAATTAAATTTTAAAAAAATGTTAATAAATTCCTCTTATTTTAATTAATTTTTCAAAATCTGAATTTTGTAGTTTTTTAATAATGAGAAATGAAAGATACTGGAAAAAGGAAATGTATATTATGAATAAAGTTTCTCACCCGGACAAAATATGACTACTTATGTTTTTGGACAAAAATATGACTAGTCATTGTGTACAAGTAACTGGACAAGAGCTACTATAGTATATTTCAGAGTGACAAGTCACTGATAGATAATGAGTCACAGGGGATTAGTCACTGAGTGTCATTTTTGGAAAATTTTAAAATAAGTCACTTTTTTATTTTTTGAATTTAGTTTAGTAATATTCAAACTTTATTGATCAAACTTGTACATTGACAAATGTGAGTAATGAACTGTTGCAATTAAAAAAGAACGGAATAATTAAGTATAATTATACGTATTTATGTTTTATTTTTTAACTAGCATTCATTGGGTTGACCCAATCGTTTGTCAAGATTGCTCCCTGTTGGCCTGTTCTGATTTGAACAACATAAATTTAGAACATATGACCAAGATTAATGCAATTCACACCCATCAGATGACATTTATTATGGCCAATTACTTTGATTAATTACTATTTACGACTACGAGTCTACGATATTACAGAATATATCCTCATTTACTCTATAAGTTGTGACATCACGTGTTACTCGTGGGGTAACTTTTACCCTCATATTTATCCTTTTTCTATGTTGTGTTCACCATAGAATTTTCCTTATGTTAATTGTTAACATCTTTGAAGTGTGATACGTAGTGTGTTTGATCTGTTGACCTCTTAAAAGTTCGGAAAGCGAAAATGTGCAAATGGATACGGTATCGGTTCTGAATACTCAAAATAGAACAATTCAGACCGAGCCGATGTAAATTAATATCTATTTGGTAATTTTATGGGTTTTTTACAAGAATATTACTAAAATAAAACATATTTACATAAATATAATTATTCATTACTACAATGTAGTGTTGTGGTAACTAAAGCTCAAAACTTGAACATGAATTACTATGATTTTCATTACTACTCTAGTCACTAATCATACTTTTGTAAATCATCTTTATTTTGGTCATACTTCAACCACCCATATAAAACTCTTATTCAACTGAATATTTTTAATTTTTCATATCCCAACATTACTTTTATTTAGGTATTAACTAAAGGTGAGAATATTTCTATTTTAATGGTAACACTATGTCGGGTGCATAATTAGTTTTGCATAACTTTGATTATATTGTATGTTTTACTACTAATTTTAAGACGATATGTTGATACAATATACTCTGTGTTAGTTAATGTGATTCTTTACTAAACTCGATCCAATTTGTATATCACTCTTTTGGTGACATAAAATTTGAATAAAGAAAAAGAAACTCCTTTTAAAATTTTTAACATAAATGGCATTGGTTAGATCGAAGTGTTAAGATCCAGAGTTCCAACCTAAAAGGTCAACCTGATAGGAGGAGTAGTCCATGTCTTAATATAGTACTTTGTTGATTCAAACGTTTCCGGTGTGAGACTTTATCACCCCTCCTCACGACTAGATACTTTGTCTGTATCGTGCCATCATTCATTTTTTATCAATTCGTCATTGTCGTTTTGATAGCGTTGCATCGAAGAGAGATATAAGAGTCTCTACCACGTTTTTTTAGAGTTTTGCCACTTTTGGTCCCCCGACTATTATGTCATTGACACTTTTGGTCCTCGACTTTTAATTGTTCCATTTTTATTCCTCGACTGTTGTGCTAGAGACACTTTTAGTCCCCGACTTCAAGGTTTCCCACATTTAGTCCCTTGACTATTGTCATATTGACACTTTTAGTCCTCCCATTATGATTTACACAATAAATGAAGGACTAAAAATGAGACTATTATAACAGTTGAATGATCAAAAGTGTCACTTTAATGAAAGTTGAAGAACTAAATATGGAAAATTTCAAAAACGGGTATCAAAAGTGTCTCTAACGCAATAGTCGAGGACTAAAAATGGAAAAAATCAAAGTCGAGTACCAAAAGTATCAATTACATAATAGTCCGAGGACTAAAAGTGGCAAAACCTTTTTTTATATTTATAATCGTATTATCATTTTTCATAAGGGACCCACACCATGTATCGATTTGGCTCTGATACCATGTTAAGATCCGGGATTCCATCCTAAAAGGTCAACCTGATAGGAGGAGTAGCTCATGTCTTAATATAGTACTTTGTTGATTCAAACTTTTCCGGTGAGGGACTTTATCACGAAGTTATAATTTGTAGACTTTATACTCGTGCACACCATATCAAGTTGTAAATCACGATGATTCAATCAATTCTAAAAGTTGTAGATTTTATACTCACACACACCAGCGGCTCAATTCAACACACAAGACTTATGATCATCTATACACGAACAGGATCACTGTGAATTTTGATCATTGATCATTGTTCAGTTTTCTCCCCACTTTACGAGTTGAGCTACCCTACGGGTACCCGATAGTCCGAGACTGAAGATTTGCGGGAGTAAGGTTGGTCCTTGAGTTAATCACATTTTGGTTATGGGGTATGTATATGGCCGCTAATTATTAAATTATTAATATCACGTTTGGGATTATCTGTTTGTTTAATTCTTAAGTGGACGAAAAAGTCAGGCTTATCACAACACGAGATTTGATAAATGTCATTTTCGCCACCAAATCTTTTGGTTTAGCCCAAGACAGTGCCACAGCAGACAGCTAGAGGGCAAGTTTAAAAATAGGCAAGTATTAGGCACTAAATTCACGTGTCTTAAATGTTGAATGATTCTCTTAAATGCCGTTCCAATAATACTAATAATATTAATTAACTCACGTGGTTTTAACGCAAAGTGGAGTTTACCCATAAAAAAAATTGAGGGTTGCTGCCTAGACTTCTAGACTCATGTATCCCTCCCTTTTTTATAAACCAGGTGAAAAATTACTTCAAGACGTTCTAGTTCTCAAAAATTACCTTTAGACTCTAGAGCATTGAATAGGCCTATAAGGAATTAATGTCAATTCATAAAATTTTATGAATTCTAGAAAGTTTATATTTAACTTTCATTCATTCTCATAGAGGTTTTTAACAATTAACGGTTAAGCTGATAATCAGTGAATTGGTATAAGTGAATTCATCAATTGTTTTGACCAGCCTTTATTCAGGAACGGATCCAGGATTTTGAGTCAAGTGGGGCGAATTTTTTTGTTTGTGGAGGGTGTGAAAATTTTTCTGCTAGTGTAGCGGGCGATTTTTTTCGCTAGTATAGCGGGGCAATTTTTTTTTCCCTAGTGTAGCGGGATGAAATATTTTCACTATTTTAGAACTTT